CCATGGAGTCCAGAAATGAATAGCTAAGATGCATCTCTCATGTACCTGTCCTGGAGACTTCGCTTCACTTCGGCAGCTCTTTAGCTGAATGATCTTCCTTACGGGTATTTTGTCTGGTCTTGTGGCGGTGTAGACATAGAAAAGCAGGAGATTAAAGCAGTCTTAGAAAAATTAAAGATGCTGAAGCATAACCAAAAGATGGTAAGGGATGGAGAGTGAGTGTGTGTGTGTGTGTGTGTGTTTGGGGGAGGAGGGGTTCGTGTTTTCTTACTATTTGTTCTCGGTGGGAGGAGTGATGGTTAAGGGAAAGACTCGGATTAGGCCTAATGCTGCCTATTTATTTAAAATTGTCCTGCAATCTGTGAAGACCTGTCTAGTTGCTTATTATTATAACGTTGCTAAATGTTAAGTGTGCGGCTGAAGTTTTCAGTGCTAAATGCCTGCCTTTAGTGTGTTTGGAAAACTTAAGCCAAAACCATTTGATCATTCCTTAGGATTAGATCAGATGCATAATTTTGCTCATGTTGAAACGTAAAGGAGGATGGTTTTTCCCAGCCCCTCTCTCTTGCCTGGCTTTGGGGCTTGCAGGTTGGTGCACGCTGCGGCGCGGGACTCCCCGCCTGACTCCTGCAGGAGGCTGTGCACGTGGCCCTTCCTGCTGCCCGTGTCTGTGCCCGGGGCAGGGGCTGGGACGCCTGTGCCGGGAGGGGGGAGCCCCCCCAGTGCAGCAGGGTGAGGAGGAGCAGCCCCTGCGAGGCTCCCAGGGGCTGTCACGGGGCTGCGGCCGGAGGGAGGCTCCCAAGGGAAAGGCAAGTGGGAGCCTCTGGCCCTGGTCTCCCCGCCCAGGCCCATGCAGGAACACAATGGCTTCGCGGCACGGCGCAGCCGGTGTCCTAGCAGCAGGTCAAGGTGGAAGTGTCCCTCTGGGTAACTGGGGAGCTCGGCTAATGTCCCTCAACTACCTCATGTTCAGTCCCTCAGTACCTGGAGGCTACATGTTACTGAAGACTAATACTTTAATAGCTTTCTCAAGTGCCTGTGCACCCATCTGGACAGACGCGTGGTACGCGCGCCTCACTTGGCTCGGGCGTGTCTTGTTTTGAAAGGTCTCCAAGCAGACGGGACCCTGTGCCAGCCATGTATCGTTTGCCAGCTCCAAACCTGCGGCGGCCCCCCCCGCTACAAAGCCCCGTTTGGCCCTGGTCCCCCCAGTATCTGCCATATGCCTTCTCGGTTGGAAACCCTTCGGCTGATGGACGCGACTGTGACCTGCCAGGGCTGCTCGGGCAGTCTCTGCCGGCTCTGTCCCCACGCTGCACGGGGGAGGCTTCCCTGGCCTTGTCTGTGCTGGGACTGCCATCGCTGCCCCTAGCCAGCCAAGCACACGGACAAGAGCAGCCCTGCACCCCTCAGAAACCCCGGGGCTGCCATGTTATGTGGCCATTATGCTGCACACTAGGGGGAGGAAAGCAGTTTACTTCACCCCCAGGCGCTGGAAAGCCAGGAAGAATCTGGCCCTGAGAACTGGTGAGGTGGCAGTGTCCAACCCCCTGCCCCAGGCAGGAGTAGGTGCCACGGTCCTATTGCCCCAGCCAAGTATCTGTCCAGCCGCCTCTTGAAGACCCCCAAGATGGGAGAGCGCCACTTCCCTCGGGAGCCCAGTCCAGAGCCCAGCAGCCTGAACTGTGCAGTAACATCTCCTCGTGTCCAGCCTGAACCGTCTCTGATTTGTGGCCGTTACTCCTCATAACCCTAGTGGTACCCTGCAAGAATGGAGCCTCCCCCAGTTCTCGCTGGCCCCCCAGTGACTTTGTTAATGGCCACCAGGCCCCCCTCAGCCTTCTCTTGTGGAGGCTGAATAGATCCAGGCCATTTAGCCTCTCCTCATAGGGCCTGCCCCACTGCTCTTTGACCATGCGAGTGGCCTCCTCTGGACCCTCTCCATGCTGTCCACATCCCTCCTGAAGTGCGGCGCCCAGAACTGGACACAATACTCCAGCTATGGTCTGACCAGTGCTGCATAGAGGGGGAGGATCACCTCCTTGGACCTGCTCGAGATGCATCTGTGGATGCAGGACAAGGTGAGGTTGGCCTTCCTGACCGTGTCACCACATTGGCAGCTCATGTCCATCCTGGAGTCAACAATGACTCCAAGATCCCTTTCTGGCACCGTGTTGACAAGAAGGGTGTTTCCCAAGCTATAGGTGTGTTGCTGGTTCCTCCTCCTTAGATGCAGCACCTTGCACTCATCTGCATTGAACTCCATCCTATTCTCTTCCACCCACATTTGCAACCTGTCTAGATCAGCTGGATTCTGTCCCTCCTGTCAGGTGTGCCCACCTCGCCCCACAACTTGGTGTCATCAGTGAATTTGGACAGTGTGCTTTCCACCACCACATCCAGATAACTGATGAAGATGTTGAACAGTGCAGGCCTGAGGACCGAGCCCTGGGGGAGACCCCACTGCCCACGTCCCTCCAGGTCAAAAACGACCTGTCCACCACCACCCTCTGAGTGCAGCCCTCCAGCCAATTTGCCACCCATCTGACTGTGAAGGCATCAATGCTGCAGTCACCAAGTTTTTTTTACAAGGATGTGGTGGGAAGGAAGACGATATCCACCCTGACACCCTCGTCCAGGGACTTTGTGACCTGATCATAAAAAGAAACCAGGTTAGTCAGGCAGGACCTGCCCACAATGAACCCCTGTTGGTCGCCCCTGAGCGTTACTTCCCCTGCTGGGCCCTTGCAGATGTGCTCTTGGATGACTTTCTCAAAGGCTTTCCCAAGGACCAAGGTAAGCCTGACTGGCCTATAATTGCCAGTAACTGTGGCGGGAGTAATTGTCTTTGAACCTAAGAAAAACCAGCATGTCCTAATGGTCCTGTGGCTAATACACGTCAGTGGCTTGCAGAGTCTAAGGGACAACATCATAGGCTGGGCGGGGGGTAACTTGTAGAGCCGCGCTGGTAGGAGCGCCACGAGAGGCATGCAGTGACTGGAACAGCTGTTTCATCAGCGTGTGTTCAGCCATGTCAGCCTGACCCTCGTAGCAGTGGTCATTTGCAGTATATGCCAAATAAATTAACATTGCTGCTTATTTTGTTACAGTGTATAGAACATTTATTCCTTCCAGAATGTAAACTAATATATTTTCCTGCTTCGAAATGTGACTAAGATACAAGCACATTACATCATTTTTAAATAACACATTTCCTAAATATATATATTACTATAGATAACACATCACACTTTCTTATATTTTAATATCTCTTTAAATAATACAATCTCTGTTTTTCCCCAGCATTGGGCTAGTAAGACAAAGGTACGTGGAAAACCGGCCTTGGAAGCAGAAGACTACCCGCATTGCTATCCCCAGAACACGAGATGCATTGACTTAAGTGATCTAGAGTACTTAAATGAACGTGCTACTTTCCAGCGTCAATCCCAGTTAAAGCCCTGAAGGGCTGCTGGCTCCTTTGAAGCAGATGTTACGGAGGGTGGGCCAAAGGCCATGGGGGTGAGATTCCACACGCATTCCTGCTTGACAATTAGTTTTGATTTGTCTACACAAGTACTGGAGAGACAGGAGTGTCGCACCTGGAGGGATGCCCTCAGGTTGAACTGCTCTCAGATGCTGAAATGCCAGCATGGCGGAGGGAGTTCCTAGGAGGCTGCATGTGGAGGGATTTGGTGTCAGACATCGACTTACTCCTGAAGCCACAGAACAGAGGACCCCACCGCTCCGGGGTGCCCTGCATGTTGGAGGGATGGCCAGCTATACTACAGGCATGTCCACATTTTTGTGGCAGTTGACCAGGCTGAAAGTCCTGGCGCAATTCTGGGAAAAGAAGTAGCCTCAGATTGTAAGGAGGGTGGATAACAGGAAAAAAGATCAACTTCACTTCTGTATCATATCAGTCTTATAGTTTCATAGTTTCTAGGGTCGGAAGGGACTTGAGCAGATCATCAAGTCCGAACCCCTGCCATGGCAGGAAAGGAGTCAAACGACCCCAGCAAGGTGTTCAGCCTCCTTTTAAAGACCCCCAGGGTAGGAGCCTGCACCACTTCCCTCAGAAGTTGGTTCCAGATCCTAGCCGCCCTGACTGTGAAGTCGCGCCTCCTGACGTCTAGCCTAAATCTCCCTCTGCCAGCTTGTGACTGTTATTCCTGGTCACTCCTGGTCATGCTCAGGGGAACAGGGACTCCCCCAGTGCCTGCTGGTCTTTCGGACTAGTTTGTAACAGGCCACTAGATCCCCCCTCAGCCTTCTCTTGTGGAGGCTGAACAGGTTCAGGTCCCATCACCTCTGCTCGTTGGGCCTGCCCTACTGCCCCCTGATCATGCGAGTGGCCTCCTCTGGACCCTCTCCATGTTGTCCACATCCCTCCTGAAGTGCGGCGCCCAGAACCGGACGCAGTACTCCAGCTGTGGCCTGACCAGTGCCGCATAGAGGGGGAGGATCATTTCCCTGGACCTGCTCGAGATGCATCTGTGGATGCATGACAAGGTGTGGTTGGCCTTCCTGACCGCGTCCCCACACTGCCGGCCCATGCTCATCTTGGCATCGATGATGACTCCAGGATCCTTTTCTGCCTCTGCCCTGACAAAAAGGGAGTTCCCCAGCCTGTAGGTATGGTGCCGGTTCTTCCTCCCCGGGTGCAGCACCTTGCACTTGTCGGTGTTGAATCCCATCCTGTTCTCATCTGCCCACCCCTGTAACCTGTCGAGGTCCGATTGCAGCCTATTCCTCCCTTCTAGCGTGCCCACATCCCCCCACATCTTAGTGTCATCAGCAAATTTGAACAGGGTGTTAGCTCATTGAAGTCCGCCCTCCTGAAGTCCAGGGCTGCTGCCTTGCTGCTGGCCTTTGCCACCTTGCGCTGGATGGTGAATCCCAGCAGGCGATGATCGCTGTCGCCCAGGTGGTTGAGCATCTGCAGCCCCCACACCAGGTCGTCCCCGTGGCCGGCACCAGGTCCAACAAGGCGTCTCCCCGGTGGGGCTGTGCACTCCTGGGTTAGCTGGAGGTCCTGCATTTGGGCTAGGGACCTACGTGAGCGGTCAGACCTGGCTGACTGCTCTTCCCGGCAGAGGTCTGGAAAGTTCAGGTCACCCATGATGACCACGTCCTTGGACCTGACTGCCTCCGTGAGCTGACCTAAGAATTCCTGGTCTAGCTCTTCCCCTTGGTTGGGGGGTCTGTAGTAGACCCCCCACCATTAAGTCTCTTTCCCCTCAACTGCCTTGTATTCGGACCCAGAGCACTTCTGTGTCCCCTCCTCTGACCCTGTGCCACCTGGTGAGAATGTGTATTCCTCCTTGATGCAGAGCACCACACCCGCCTTTCCTCCCTGTCCTGTCGCTCCTGTACAGCCCACAGCCCTCGAGCAGTCTTAACTACTGCTTTTGGAGGCCAGCTCTAGGATCACTGTGTCTGAAAGAATAAGAGAAATGAGTGTTTTCATCCCTTCCCTTCAGCATGTTTACCGTGCGCAGTTCCCCAGTCATAGTTGTCTTCTCCTCTTGCCCCAGATCACCTGTTCAGTTGGTCTGTTGTTCATATGGTCGCTTCACGCAGCAGAAGGACATTCAAACAAATTGAAAACCTCTGAAGACATTTTAAAAAGATAAAATAAGCAGAGGCTCTCAAGAAGAGGTGCAACATGGCAAAGGTCTACGTTAACCCCGTTTTGGAAACTGGCTTGATTTCATGTTGACGGTGATGAGCATTTTAGAAAAATGAAATTCCTACAAATTAGGACAGAAAAGATAACGAGGAAAGTGTCCTGCTCCTTCCCCTGCCAGGGAAGTGGCCCAGGACGCTCCTAATAGGCGCCCATCCAGAACGGAGAGCTGTTTGTTTCATGAACTCCAAGGAGCCAAACTGTGCTCTCTTGAGGTTAGAAAGAGACCAGGGGCACTGCCCGGATTACAGAACAGCTCTGCAGAGAGTGGCGAAGGGGAGGCACAAAGCCCAGAGCACTGCTGGGCCTGACTTTGCACCAGAACAAGGCATACGGGAGCAGGCCCGTGCTGGGGGTGAACACTCAGTGATTACTACCGAGTGAATTCCAGCTCGGGGTTATTGAACTGCATTTCCTCTCACTATCTGTGGCACTACAGTAATGTCCAGCTGCACACTTGAGAAGAAAGGCAGGCGATGCATTTTGTCATTCCTCTGCTTTATATGACTTCTGGCTAAACGCAAAGTCCCCTGGAAAGCGAACCTTCCTACACAGTGACAGAGGTGGGGCTACAAGATTTCCATCAGTGTGGCTAGCAGGAATCAAGATGCCATCTACCAAGGATGCAGGGGCATGGCTGTGTCTCCAAGCATGAGCATAGACTGGCAATGCAGGCAGTGTCTATGGTAGATGCAGGATTGCTTTTGGGCTTTCACCCTAGCCTGCCCCTTCAATCTTTTGGCTCGGGGCAAGTGAGATTAGGGGGCATCTGAACCCCAAGGCTTCCAGGCTTGGGCGTGCCCGTAGGATCCTGCCATGGCTTTGGAAGGATCTGAAGCCCTAGACAGATGAGTGTGGGAGGTAGGAGACCTGCTGATGGTAGTGCCACACCGACTTGAATGATTGAGCTCTGCTCAGTCAAAATTTGGCAATTAATTTGGAACTGATGTGGCCCTGGAATCAGAATTCTATTAAATAATAAACGGGTACAAAAATCCTGCCAGGGCTGCACCCGGAGACCATTAATAATGAATAAATACATGAGCGTTTTTCCAATATTTATCACCAAGAACAGGCTTTACTGAAGGTACGTACACACTGCCGTCACAGATGCCGCACAGTTCAGGTGCTGGCAGCGTGGCAGTTCGGAGGGCTGCAAAACTCACCTGCACATAGGCAGATTGCCCAGGCGGAACTGTGTGCTGCCACAGCTGCACTGGGCCCTAAGAGACCAAAGGGTTAATGTGCTTTTCACCAAAATATTCCCTCCCCTGAATGTTATCGGTGCTTTAATTACCTTTCCAAGCAACTCTTCTAACAGGTTCAAGCAAGAAGGCACTAGATGTTCCCGTGCATTCGCCTCTCGCTAGAAACTATGTGGTAATTACTGGCTGAGTGAAGTCTTTCTGCTCCGCGCAGCCCTTACAGAGCGGTTCCACTGCCTCTGGCGCCTGTCTGCCAAGCAAACAAGGCTGTGCAAGGACTCAGTTCTGCATCCCAGACTGGATCACAAGGGGCTTGGACTCAGCGCTGCCATGCTCAAGTCTGAAGCCCTGGGCTGTTGAGTGGAAATCACTGCCCCACATTAGATGGCAGGCCCCAGGCTCCCCACACGCTGCACAGGTGGCAGCTAGCCAGTGGCACTGCTGCTGCGGAGGGGTGTGGTTGGTGCTCTGCTCCCCCTGGTAGGTAGGTGTCTTCCTCTGGGCAGGAGGGCAGCCCTGATCTCCATCCTCGGTCCATGGAGGGCTCAGTGCTGTGGAACTGGCACTGAGCCCCACCAATCCTTCCTCGCATGGAGGAGGTGGTGCTGCTGCTGGCTCTGCCATTGTGCGCCACAGCCCAGTGCTGGGAAGTCTCCTGATCTGATTTGGCACAGGGATTTAATGCAGCACTGCATCCCAGGGAGTGTCCAAGCCTCGGGACTGAGGGGGTCGGCTGGGTGTGGCCCCGCTCTCGCCTCTTGAAACTTTTCAGCTTGGTATAAAATCCTGAATATTCGCTGGAGCAGGAGCTCGGTCCCAGGGGAGTGCCCCAACCCTCAGGGTGCAATGTCATTCTCTCTGGCCCCGTGCGGGGACCTGGGAGACGCGGTGGTGGAACCTGAAACGCCTGCCGGTGGCAGTGGCGGATTCTGAGGCCCTGAACTGTGGGCCTACTTCCTTCAGCAGGATTTGGGCCACCCAGTACAACACTAGTGATCTGGAAATACGAACAAACGTCTGCCAGAGATTCTTGAACAAACTGAGAAAGGGACAAGCAGCATCTCATTTCACTGCCAACAGACTCGGCAGGTCTAAATCAAAACTCTTGTTCCCGAGCTGCTGTGCTCTGTAAAGCTGCAGTCCTAGTGTGCTTTCCCATCTGAGATCATTTCACTGTTTTCCAGGATACAAAATGAGCAGTCCCAACAGCCTCCAATTAGATGCAGAAACAGTTTTTTGCTTTTCTAGCTAGGATGAGGTATGTCAGACGAGCAAAAATCACATATTTCTACAGTCCCTTTCCTTTGTTTAAGCCTTTTTTTTTGGCTTCCTATTACAGGGTCCCCGGGTTCTTGGCTCCATTCCCCAGCTGATGACATCCAAGGCATGAAGCACGCTGAGAAAGGTGCTGGCCTATCCTCTCAGCGTTGCTAACAGCCAGAGAGCATTGGAGCTCGGACTTCAGATAGAAAGGCACCCCACTTTTCCAGATGTCTGTCATTCTGTTTCCAGTCCCTTCACTCTCAGGCTCTGGGGGAGCAAAATGTAGCTTCCTCGTGGTCTGATGTTAAAAAAAGAAAATCTTGCTGAGAGCATGCAGTAGCACAGCTGATCTTTTTTCTTTCCCCCTGACTAACGTATCAGCCTGAGAGCACCAGCATTTTGGGACCTCTTCTGTCTCCCTGTTCTTCTTGCTTCATCCCTGCGTTCACCACAGCAGCTTCCTACAGCAGCTTCCTGCAGCCTCTTCCCCCTTCTTGCAGGACGCTTGTGATGGAAGAGAAATTATTTCTTGTTAAGGAACCATCTGGGACCCTGTCCATTTTATCACAGGATTTTTATGGCACAGGATACCTGACACGAGCATTTATTCTTGTCCTTTAAAATTGGGATTAATTTAGAAGGGCCTTGCTGAATTTCACTGTTTTGTTTGAGCATCTTCTTGTTCGCTATCCTGAGTTCGCTGTCTTGTCGCTCATTCTGGTTTTTGGAGGGTCTCTTTCATGTAAGGACTGTGGCCTGAAACGCCAACGTGCAGGGCCCCTCCTGTGCGTGCCTGCGGTGAGCAGGGAGAAGAGCTGCCTGGGCAGGGGCGCCGTTGGGAGAGCTCTCCACCTGGTAGGGAAATGCTGCATGGGCCAGGCCCCGTTTTCATCTCGGCCCTGTGAGAGTAATAGGGCACTTTGGCAAACACAAGGTTAAGTGTGGAGGTTTGGAGTAATAAAGCACTACGATTCCTGGCAGGTTGCGACTGGACAAGATGCCTGCATCAAACATGCCCAGAGCCTGGGGTCACCCTGACTGGAGCCTGTTATGCTGTGGTTGGGTAATGGTCCCTGGGCAAGCCCAGGGCCCAGAGGGTGGGGACGCTTCTCTGGGCTTGGCCTTATGCCATGGTGTTTAATTGGATGTGGGCAGCAGCCAGAGCAAAGGTGTTGAGGCAGCTTTGAGGTTGGTGGCTGTTGGAAAGAATTAAAGGGCTGCATGTGGCCCTTATCTGGGCTGCTGAGAGTACCTGGCAGACAAGTGAAGCTTTGCAGTTTGACTGGGACCTGAATTTGCTAGAAAACATGTCCTAAATTATTTGTTTTGTAAGGAGATGGTCACAGAGCAGGGCACTGGTTTACTCTGACTTTGCATTGTTGATTGACCCTGGTAATGGATTAGGAGTCACCAGCGTGAGCACGACTTCAGAAACACACACATGGAGAAAGTCCTGTTTCTGCTGGACGCTGGAGCCCTGTGGGGAGCGCAGCTCCGTGAGGGAGCAGGAGACTGACATCATTCCCCGAGGCAGAGCGGGCCAGCATGGAAGTCATGGAGAACGGACAAGTCCTCCGCTCGTGTGAACTGCTGCAGCTCCATTGACTTGAGTGGGGCCACGGCCACTTACCGCAGCTGAGGGTGTTAGCCTTGATGCTCACTTCTCCGGCAAGCCTGGAGGACAGATTCCATAAAAAAGCCTCTGCAACGGGACACAGAGCGACCCTGTAGACACCAACTAGCTCATGCAAAAAGCCTCCTGGGTTTTCCAGCTGCAAATGCAGCAACCCTTTTGTAAGTCTCCTGAAGGACACTCCAGCCCCACTCTCTCTCTCACCACACCCCCCCGATTTCCATGCTGGAGAATACATTTTGTGATAGCTTAGAGCCGTCAGATGTTGAGAGTGAGACCATGTTGATAATGTTTCCAAAGCCTCCTGGAACAAAGCTGTCTCTCCAGTACTGCAGAGTATGAAGACAGCTGTGCTGGTATAATCCCATCCTCTGCATCAAAGGGACTGAAGAGAAAGCACTCTTGGCCTTGATATTGTTAGGAATAATATCCCAAGCCACTTTCAGCCCCAAATCCTACAGCACCAGCTGTCACTTTTTTTTCTTGGCCTCAATTGTGCTTTGTTTGGTTAGATTTCCTGAGTTGGTTGTTGCTGGTCGTCTACATTTCTCCTCCCCATTATTGTGTAAGTGGGTCTTTGCTTTGCTTTGATTACTCACATTACACACTTCCACCTCGCACTGAAGACACAGCCCAGCTGTTCTGCCACTTCCCTTTCTTCTGCAGACTGGAATGCGCAGACAGGGCAGCCTGACAGCGCTGGGCTGTGGATCGTCTGCCACGACTCTGTGCCTGGCCCCACGGTTTTGCGGAAGTATGTAATGCACTTAAAATATGGTGTTGATAAGGTCATAATAGAAACAGGTGCGAGGGCTAGATGCATCAAGGAGTCTCCTGTACAGAGACATTGAGCCTGCTGTCTAGACACAAGCACAGGAATGCTGGGGAGGCTCAAGTCCCGAGGTATGGAAACTATTGCTTCTTTTTTCAGCTGCTCTCACTGCAGAGACTCCATATTTAAACAACAAACAGTTTCTAAAGCATACATAATCGTTTACAGATTTTGCTGGTGTGCTTAAACCAATCTGATACGCTCCAGGTTGATCTTGCCCTTTCTCATCTTTCTCGCATCCCAGTTTAGGTTCTACGGGGATTATATATGCATGTCACATCTTTCCAGGTGCCTTGAGGACAACGGTTGTGTTTTTGTTTTTTGCCTTTTTTTTCTTTTCTGCTGATGCACATGTCCCTTTTTGGTCCCCTAAAGCACCGCAGGTCTTGTCTCTCTTTCAAACCCATATGTATGCATCCTTGTTTACTCTCACACTCCAGCTTGATGAAACATATATCCATTTGTTACAGATCTCTCGCCCCAATATGTATGTGTTTGTTTAAGGCACTTGGGTTCAGGGGCTGTGCAGATGTGCAAACGATCCAGTGGTTACAGGACACTTACACACACACACACTCGTGGATTACACATCAGAAAACAGAATCCTACTCTACTTCTGGACTGCATGAGGTTTTTGGCAATTGCCTCCCCTTTAAAAAAGGATTAAATGGTTTTTGCTGAGTGCTTCTGAGACACTGGCACGTTGGACTGCTTCTAACTGGCAGACTTGGGCACAGAGATATTCCTTTGCTTCTATCCTTGTTCCTTCTCTTCACCAGTAAAGACAATAATATACCCAGCAGTAATTTGCCAGCTACCATGGATCCCTTGTAGTGCCCTGATCCTTTGCTAATGGGGTAGATTAGATCTCCAACTTTTGCTGCGAGGATTCTTGATTGCCATCTTCACCATCTGAAGTTTACTGGATTGACAGCTTGGTTTTCAGTCCTAGGTAGGCAGCGCAGTGGTCACATCTGGAAGGGACAAGAGGCATCAGAGTGGCAGAAGGCTGTTGTGGCAGTGTCCTTGCTGCTCTCAGTGGCCCTTTCAAAGGCAGTCACTGGGCGCAGTCACTCAGGCACACACATTTTAAGCTCTGTCTCTTGTAGAGTCTGGTCCAATGGCACCACCCCATGAAATTACTGCTTGCAGCTGAGCCTTTGAGTGTTTTCTTCTCAACTTCACCTTTGAGATGTGATCGGTTTGCTATATTTGTGCTTCTGAAAAGAGGCCAGCCATAAATAGCACAGCCCTGGCTATCGGGCAGATACCTTTCCAAAGTCTTTGACTCGCTCACCTCTGTCCACTGCCAGCTAGAAATATTTACAGCAAGAGCCAGTTCACCACCTGTTGCTGCAGGAGCTGAACCGACAGTGGCATCTCTACTTGGGCTCAGCTTGGAGTCTCAGGGGGCCTAAGGAGCAGTCCCAGCACACCCAGAGCGCTGATCTCCACAGGTTCCACATTTCCCTTGTTTTGCCGGTGTGCAGGGCATCACCATTTTAGACAGCTCATTTCTGTTTCAAGTGCACTGGTTTAATGGCAGTACTGAGCAGGATGAGAGATCTGGCAAGCACCAGATCCTCCCAAATGGTTACAGCAGCTGGCTCTGCTGTGTCTGGTGTGCACTGGAGAACTACAGGAAAGGAAGGTCAGTCAAAGCCCCACGGAGGAGCAGATCTTGGGAGACAAGAATCAGACCGAGAGGAAAAGCATTAGCGCCAGGTCACCTCGAGTTGCAGAACGCTGTGCCCCGTGGAGTAACTGGAACTTAGTCTTCCACAAGTGGGTTGCAATCGTCTTGCTGATACTTCAGTTTTTTCTTGAAGATGGAGATTGATGTGGACGGCTCATAAAAAATACTCCAGATCTCGCTTGCACGGGTCGCCCGGTAGGAATCTCTCTCGGCTGTAGAGGGCACTTGGTGAGACCTAGGAAACAGCAGTTTTATCGTACAAACTGTGCTCAGAGGTATCGATTGTGATGCTACTGCTATTCCAGTAGTGCCTGCTGACTCCAACTGAGATTGGGATACTATTGTGTTAGGCACTGTACAGCTATGTCGGGAGAGGGGGGCCTGTCCCCTGTATAGCTTACCGTCTAAATAAACAAACCAGAAGAGGGGACAGAGAGGCCCAGAGAGCAGTGACCTGCCTGAGGTCATGCAGCAGGGCTTCAGAGTCCCAATCCACCGGACCATGCTGCAGTGCTACAGACTGCAATGCTGTTGGTCCACAGTATTGCACTGCTGTTCCACGTTGCACTCTCTGCACCAACAGTACGTTTCAGTGGGGGGAGGGGGAAATGTCACCATTTAGTGGCTACAACTTGCCTGATGTACTGGCAAATGAGAGATTAAAGACCACCTTTGCTTTATGTCTGGAGACACGGAAGAATGAGGGGAAGCTATTTTTCGAAGGCAGGAAATGGAACGGAGGAGTGGGGAAAGAATAGTGCTGGAGAATGGTCCCAGGTTTGATTTAGAAAACCAGAGTTAGCCTGAATTTTTTTTTTTACCCCTGGTTGATCTAGAAATCAGCTCTTTTTATAATGCCCTATCTAGAGTGAGGATGCTGTATCTGTGATATCATAAACAGAGCAGCCATCTGAGACTTCATGAACAACAAAATAATAATTATTATGATAATATCAAGTTTGCAGGGAAGTAGAGGGCACAGCAGAGAGATTTTGAAGGAACAAAGACCCTTTTTGTTTGCAAATGTTCCTGCCAATAAAGACCCACGTGAGGATCTCAAATTGACAACAGAGGATGCCTCAGTCTAGTAGACAACATTATAATGAGATCCAGTAGTTGAAAGTTGAAGCTAGACAAAATCCAACAAGAAAAAGGTGCACATTTTTAACAGTGAAACAAGGCAGCAAAATTTGCCATGGATCCTCCATCACTGGACACGTGAAGCTGTGGCTTAGATTCTTCTGCCTCCCCCGCAGGAGAGAGACCCCGGGTCAAACGGGAATTACTTCAGCGGAGTCTTACGGTGTACTGTACAAGAGCTCAGACTAGATGGTTACAGTGGTCCCTTCTGGCTTTATAATCCACAAGTATTTTTTAGAAATAACTCGGATCTCCACTTATGCCGTGTTACGCTGCATTAATGTTCAGTTGCTCTCACTGTTAACAACTGCACCTTACTGCTAGTCTGAATTTATCTATCTTCACCTTCCAGCCACTGGGTTTCATGTTACTTTTTTCTGTTAAAGAGCTGTCTGCTATCAGAGATCTTTTCCCTTTTAGGTGCTTGCACACGGTGATCAAGTCCCCTGTCAACCTTTTCTTTCCCAGGCTTAGTTTCTTAAACCTTTTGCTACGTAAGTTTTCCCACCCTTCAATTATTTTAGTGGCTCTTCTCAGAGCCCTTTCCAGTTTTTCAACAAAAGAAAGTCTGAATATAAGCCAGCAGATTCATTGCTGATAGAATTTTATTTCACACATGCCCAGTGTGGGCTACTCTTTGATATGCTTTTAATATTTTGTGCATTAAAAATTAAAATAATTAGTTCTCCTCCCAAAAGTGGTGGAAATCCTTGTTTTCTCCTCTGTATAATTTTGGTCTGGATGACCGTCTTTTCCCACCCCCAGCACCAGGAAGCTCTATAAAATAAAGCAGAACAAAAGGGATTCTGTGATTTCAGACAGGAAAGTTAGTGCTGTGTTTATCTGGCAGCTGCTTTGAGGGAGCACTGAAAGCAACATGTAACTCATATTATGGACAATAACCTATCGGGGCACGGCCAGAAGAAGAAAGGGGTTCCCTCAAGGATGTGAGCAATCGCAGGACTGGGCCTTCGCCATTATGCCTGTGCACTTAGAGGCAGTTCTATCCATACTTACTTCATTGTGACGTGCAGAAGTATCTTGGCCAGTATGGCAGTGACACTCAGGATGAGCAGTGCTGTAAGGCCATAGACTGTCCACTCTGGAAAAGAAAGATGCACAGCTCCTAGCATGTTCATTCACTTTTCTTTTTTAACTAAGGGTGTGTTTCCTGTTGCACTCTGCCTCTGACACTTGACGTCCAGGCTTTAGGACAGTAGCAAATCCCAGCACTCTTGATTCCAGGCAGCCCGCACCCACTGGACCCTCTGCATTGTTCGCTCTGAAACTTCAGACTTTGGCAGTTTAAAGAAAATCTCAGGAAATACTTCCCTGCAGAGAGGTTGTGAAGCTGCCTAATTCTCTGCCTAGGAAATGGATGAAAGACTTTCTAAGGTACTTTAAAAATAAAGTGCTTGCTGCACTAGGAAATGTACTCCAAGCAACAATTTTGCATTTACAGGGAGCTGGGCAGATCTCAGCGCAGTAGTTATTCCGCTGTTACTGTGTTCCCTTTCCAGACCCTAACCAGCAAATGGTCTGTGGTGTATTATTCCTCCCTCGGGCAGTGCAGCACAGCCCTGACTCTTCTTTAATTGCCTTTGGGACTCCAGCAGCTCACAGGGGACTTAATGATGCCACAAAGCAGCAGCTGAAGATTTCTCCTTGTACAAAGGAGTCCTGACCTAGCATAGCCCCAGCTTCTTCTGACCTTTCCTCTGCAGTGGTCTCGGGATGTTACAGGGTGGGGGGATGTGTTGTGGGCCAGGTGGTAGCCTGTCACAGATGGGCAGGGCATTGGACTGGCATGATCTTCTGATAGTCTCGGCTGGTAGAGCAGCCATGTCGGGTCCTTTATTTGCTGCTGCAAGCGAATGAGGCCCTGAGGCTACCAACACCCATGGATACCAAGGGTGCAGAGAGAACTGGACAAAAGCTACCCCTGCCCCATGCTCCCTGCACCCAGGTAGAGACCAGCTTCACAGCACATGGTTGTTTGTGTGTGACTCAGTTTGCAGCTTGTGCAGCAAATGTGTGTCCCAAATGCAAACAGTTGTGCTGGTTGTGGTGCACAAGAGCGGTCTGATGCGCCACGGGTCCTGTGATCTACAAGCCCAGCCAGGCAATGTAAGCCCTGCCTGCTGCTTATGCTCACTGTTCCTCTTTGGACATTACCAGGCATGGTGCCAGGGGCGTGACTTGGGCTGTTCGTGATGACGTAAAGTATTTTTGAAGACCGCACTGCACTGAGACTTAGATTTGCTTGTTCAGTTATCACCTCAGTAAGGGTCAGGTTGACGGGGGCTTTGTCCTGCTGTACCATCTCCTTGGTCGCTGAAAATGCAATAAGAGAGAGGTTATCTAGATAAGGTCTGAACTGATTTATCTGGAGGTAGGCTTTTTGGATATGTGTTTTGTTAAACAGGAATTGTATATTTTTTCCTGGCTTGCACTAAGAATTCCTATAGGCAGTTCATGGCTGAAACAGGCACAATCTTGTCACTTACTCAGCTGCTTCCTGAAAGTTAATGAATTGCTCATAAGAACTCCCAATGGCCTTATTCAAGAACTAAAGAGTTTCCTCCCGGAGACGGAGCATAGAGAAAGATCCATCTAAATCTAGCGTGTGGTCCCATGTTGACTCTGTAAGACGCTGAAGCGGAGACTCTACTGCTGGCATATGAACTGTGTCCAAGAAACAGGATGTTCCTCTTTTATTACCTACTTACTAAGACAATGAATCGGCTTAGTGGAACCAGAAGTGGTGACTAGCTAATTGCCGCTGGAAGATGGGAGCTTTCTAAGAGCTAGCCCCATGCTAGGCAAGGCTGGCTGGTAACACTTGTGTGTAGCCAACCAGTGACTACCAGTCCGTGATGGTGGGCAGGCCTCTACCTGCAAGACACGCTGGTAGAAATGCTGATGCTGGAGGGAAGGGACAGAGCAGCAGAAGCTGGGGCTGATATGCACAGTCTTGCTGGCACAGGTACATCAGCTAGGCTGTGAATGTAACCGGCTTGGTTGCAGAACTGGAACTTGGGTGTTGCCTGGCTGAGGGGAATGGACAGCTCGGGAGGGTGAAGGAGAAACAGAAGGTGCCAATGGACTACGTGGGGTCACTATGCTTCAAATTTTGCTTTCCTCATTCGCTAGCAGGGCAGGGGATGGGGGCTTCATACTGTTAAGCCCCAGCCATCAGCTGTCGGAAGGAGCTGAAAGCATTTCTCTGCACCCAGATAGAAGCCCGGGCGGAAGGCCTCAGCCTCGGCCTCGGCCTCTGGAATCGGACAGATGGGGTGAAGGATTTGCAGGAGGAGCTCAGATGCCTGCTTTTGCTGTGCCTGTACAAGTATGCTGTGTAGACTAAGCATCTCAAGGGCAAGGGATCAAGTAGCTGGTTCTTACCTGTGTACCTGACAGCAAATCCCTGGGCCTGATTTATCTGGTCTGAAAAGAAATACAGAATGACAAAGTCCAAAGAGATGTTGAAAGAAAGCGGAGGCTGGTTCCTGCTGTCAAAACGGGCCAGCACATGGTACGTGTAGCCATCCAGCACCTCCACCATGTCTGCTGAGTCCTTGATGTCAAAGAGAGTGAAGTTGAAATGGATCTGAGATGCCCCTGGAACTTGTATGGTCCAGTAGCAGACCCTGCCCGCGCCGTACACATCAGGGAAATCTGGGGAATAGATCACTGATGTCGGAGCAGTGTAGTTTCCTCCACAGGCACCAGTAAGTGCTGTAAAAAGGAGAGAAATGAAAAATGGAGAAATGAAAAATCAGTGTATGCAGATTGTGCTTCTGTAGCATGGTCCATGTTGGGTGATGCCTCAGCTGTGCTGCGCTGATGTTAGCGGCTCAATTATGCAGACCTGCACTGAGCACAGGAGCTGCATCATTTCAGTGGGAACCTCTGGAGATGCTGTGCCACCACAGGGGACACGTCTGTGCTCTCACTTCCCCCACTGTGGCACGGCCTGCGGTGCTCTGATCATAACGAGCCACCCCGCTGATGTTTAGTAATTTCTCCCTCTCCCTGTTAGAGATGTGTATTGCAGTGAGAAGTAATGCCTCTTGCTGATGGCTATGGTATTTCACAACTTCCCTGTCAATAAAGCCTTCTAAATAGATCTTTGTATTTTTTTAAACTTTGCTTGCATTCTTTTTCCTGTCTAGTGTTTCAGTGGTCTGACCCTGTTCTCGGCAGGGTAAACCAGTGGCTGTAACAGACTCTAAAGAAAACTGTTCCACAGCCAGAGCGAAGGCCAGATCAGACACCACAGAAAACCTTCCATATGTGAGCCCAGCACGCCTCTCTCGGGATTGCGTTCCTGCTGCACCTCCCTGACAGTGGACCCACCCCAGGAGTAAAGACAGAGGCAGGTCGTTATTCTTGATGGGCTCTAATACAGAATGAACGACTCAGTAACACTTCACTTGTAATTCAGGATAATTTGCTAAGAAAAATGAAAGTAGAGCAGTGTATTCGAGATCTTGAATCCTGTGGGGGAGCTGTGCCATGGCTTAGATCGCTCTGAACAGACCGAGACAAAAGCAAGCGGCACAAAGCCAAGTGTCTTCTCACTTTCCCAGGATTTTGCACCTGCTGCGAGAGGCTTCTCCAAGTCTGTCCAGTCTGGATTCTGCATCTTTCTCATAGCATAGCACATTCACCAGTCCAGTACTGGATCCTATTAGCCATGTAATATTTATTTCTAGACAAGGTCTTTGGTTTCCAGATGTGAATAATACATCTTCTGCTAGATTACAGGCAACATTTCTTTTCAGGAGGGACCTGATTTGCTCAGAAAGTTTGCTTCCCTATGTAATGGGCTGAAAGACAGATGACTAGGTAGAATTCTGCTCTTTGGGGAAATTTCCAGAGCTTTATGAACAAATCTTAAGTAATTCAAAACAATCACGATTTTAAGTGCTTCAGTTTCATGCAAGAAGAGGGTTAGGGCCTAAAAAAACCTCTCTCTCATTTTGCCTTCAGAAGCAAAGATGACCAGCAACAATTATTCCCACTTAGAAACACTGGCGGCTGAGCCAGAGCAGGTAAGTACTTTGATTCGAGTCTGTTGCTCCAGTGCAATGAGCGCAGATGGGAGGTCTCGAACCTACCTCCTACTATCAATTGTCTCTGTTCTGCTGCTCTTGAAATTTAGCATTTTCTTCTTGGTCATGTGACAACACATGCCTGTAACCCCCCCCCGAAACCCTGTGTGTAAAACGAGGGAGACAAGGCTGGGAAGGAGATGTTTTAAAAAATGGGCAAAATGCTGTTCCTTCTTCTGGAGCAGATTCTGGGCCTTATCAAGCCCCTTCCATCGTTCGACAATGCTCTTTTTCCTAAGGTATCATTAAAGACTGCAGTGAAATGCAGACATAATTGGAGAGGCTTATTTGGGAGACATCTGCCTGGAATTCTTTGTGGCACATGGCGAACTGGATGCGCATGGTTAAGAATAACTTCTTACTGCAGAGTCATGTGCAGACACCTCAAACACGAAGCGGAGATGTTCCAAACATTCTGACAAATGTGTTGCGTGCAGTAATGCTTGAAATGTTTCAGCTCCTCTATTCTTTGTAAAGGCTGCTCTAGTGATCTCTGCTGTAGCTTTTGTTAAGTGAGGTAGCCACAAAGAAGGGAGTCCAGGGGAAGCGTACTGGCCGATCCACATCTCCTCTCATGTGATGCTGAAGTCGGTGACTGCCCATTATCTCTCCGCCTCTGACTTATATTATTTCAAAAGTACTTTACTTGTGCATAACTGGGCCAGAAGCTGTTGTGTGGAAACGACCAGTTCGTGCTCAGTTTGGCATTTTTATCTAGATTTTGTCTCAGTTGGATTGTTATCTGGGTTTAACCCTTGACAGCATGAAGCCTAGCACAGATATTAAAATGCAGTTAATAGAGGTAGTGTTGATGGGGAGTGCTCCCAAAGACTGTCTCAGGCTCTCTCTGTAATTCTTCCCAAACACCAGAATTTTCAGGCTAACACTGAAATCTCAAAGCACTTCGGAGAGAGAGAGAGAAAGGAGGTTTACAAACTAGTGCAGTATTACTGCATCCTCACTACTTGCATTGCAGCTGGACTCCCCACTTCTTTTAGCAGTGACTCAAATGTATACAGTGCTCCACACGTTCAGAACCCCTAATGCACATTAGTTATTCCACACCATCCCTTTTATGAGGCAGGTGTGCTATTTCGGTTTTCTGTTTTACAGATGGAGACACACCGTGGATCCTTTTTCATGATGGTTGCCTTTAGGAAATTTCATTTTATGAAGAGCAGAGGGGGAGCAGACTCATACCTGCATATCTGAGGGGGTCTCATCTCTGGGTGAGGCTCATCACTTCAATTTAAGTACACATTCACTGATTTAATTAGGGACAGTTCTGAAAGTGCCATGCAGAGCGAACCCTGCTTTCAGTCACGGTGTGGGAAAACGCCTGATAGTGTCTGGACCGTGCCTGGGCAAGCATTAACTAGCAGGGCTACTCCACCCCACTTCTCGACTCGACTCGACAGGGGTGTGAACTAGGGTGAAGTTTCATGCATTTCACTCTGCACGTGTGTTCTCGTTGTCCTGAGCAGGTCTGGACCCAGCTGTCTTGAGCTGATCCCCGCTGCTGGGATTCATGGTTTTGTGTGCGGTATTGTTCAGAGTCCTTGGGATGCTGTTCCCCTGACTTGCTAAGCGTGTGACTCCCTACTCAGCCCATTTCAGTACTCACTGTCAAAGAGGATGACTCTGCCGTCGCCACCACAGGGCTGCGTGTGGTCCCCAAAGCAGACGCTGTTGCACTCTGTGCTGACAGCCTCCCCGTAGCGCCAGTAGTCAGGATTATTCCCACAGAAGCAGGCATAGCCGGACTCCATGCCTGCAAACTGGGACAGCAGAGAGACATCAGACAGGGAGGATGGTATCTGGAGGCTAACGGGTGCTCCCCAGAGGTTGCACGGCCTGCAGGAGTGTACCACTTGGAGGGGTGCGATTATGTGGGGCCCAGGACAAGTGGGACAAGATGCTGTGCAGAGAGGAGTGAGCTGTGGGGCCTGGGAGGAGGGGCTGGGGACACGGTGCCTCACCCCTGCAGCCACCCCTATGGGCAATACAGATGCAGGCGCATTTGCACCTCAGACATGCTTCTTTTGGGCCACCCGTGCACTCATCTGGGGGCTTCTGGCCTGGTTCTCCTGGATGAGTGGGGGAGTGAGGCTGGGCTCTCGGGGCGCGGGGGAGTGGGACCTGGCGCTCCCAGGAGAAGAACTTGAGAAAACAGCACGAGCACAGCAGAAGTCTCCCTGCATGCCAGCCCGTCCTGTTCGAAAGACCTGTCCGATATGTGGAGGTCAGAGAAATTACCTTGAACTGCTGACTCCGGCAGAAGCTGATGCAGGTTTGGATAGTGAGCTTATTGGAGGTCTCGCTGGTGCCAGTCAGAGGAGGTGGGTTGCCGTGGTCCTTGTAACAGCCAAGATTTCCAGGCACTGGAGAGAACCAGAGAGTGATTCATAGAGACATGCGCTTGTGGGCACATTTTACCACTTCATTTGTTTCCTTATTAACTAGATGACTGCACAGCTTCTAGCCTGGGTCTCCTATTATGTGCAACACTGCCACTGCAAAATGTAGCCCAGCAGAGGCAGGATGGCAGGAAATCAGGTGATAGCATTTATTAACCCAGGGGATGGGCAGAATGACTTACCCAAGGTAGAGGGGGATATAGGGGCTTAGCAGGCAGCAGTTGCTTCACAGTGATTATCTGTGTGCATGCTCTTCCTTTGTGGTAGATGAAAGCTAACCTGTGGTCTCTCTGCTTAATTACTGCAGTTTAACTTTTGCCTTCTGTGGCATTAGCTTATGCACATTGGAAGCTGAAGTCAAGTGAGGCCCTGCTCTCTCTCCTCTCCGGGTAACTAGTTCATTTGCCTGGACTCTCACACAGAGGATTATATAATGGTTTTGGATGCAAACACCTAAGAAAGACAATGCAATGATTTAGGATTGCTGATGTCAACACTAATCAAAAGGGGCTGAGTGACATGAGAGTAAATTTGGATGAGGAATCAGTGCATTTTGTAATTAGGGAGGCTTAAGAAATACGGCGTCTGTTAGACTGACTTGTCTATGGATAGAAATTATCACCCTTCCAGGGTGGAGCCCACATGTGCTGTGGGTTTAGTGTTACCTGCCAGGATCCTTCTCTGCCATTTAAACAGATGCAAGGAATTAAAACTGATACCATTAGGAGTTGTCTACCTGTCCCTTGAAGGAGTAGAACTCCCAGTCCTGAATTTGCTGTTAAAAATGGTACAGTCCTTATGAGCAGAGCGATTAGGTTAGTGGATAGATTTCCAATTTTGGGGAAAAAAATTATATTCCCCGTAGAGCATGCGAGAGTCCGTTGGCAAATAAGACGTCCGCATCTCTTTAGGGTTTCGGCTTGTTACAAGGTGACTGTTGGAAGTGGAAGCTCTGAAGTGGAGAACTGATACAGCACCACGCTAGACCTGCGGTTCGGTACGGTGATTGTGGAGAGACGTCAGCCAGCTCCGGGGTGCGAGCACGCGGCACCCTTGAACCAGGCTGCCCAGGGCGGGAACGCCGGCACGGTTTGCCTGGGGTCTCGGGTCAGAACCCGGCTGTTGGGCAAACAACAAACTTAAACAGCCTCTGCCAGCACCAGGCCTGAGCCATGCGTAACCAGAGCGTACTCACACTCACCAAATTCACCCTCAGTCCTTTAACAGGAAGGGCTGCTTCAACTGCATGTGCATGTGCATGTGCTGGGCTGGACTCGGGTCCAACAGTTTTCCGTCTTGCCTTCTGTTTCTTTCTGCCTATTTCAGGTGAGCAGCATTTGCCCAGAGTTTAGCCTGATGCCCACAGAGGAGAGGACTTCCTCCCTCTGGGGTTTCTGATAGTATATAGGATACTTTGTGGGATGTTTCAAGGCTGATTAGAGAACACCGACGGCTGGTGTTTTCCAAAGCAACACAATCGATGCAGTGCTCCAGGTACTGCGAGAGCACCTAAGGCAAATTGACATATTAGGAAAAATTGTTTCCCCTCCAGTATTTGCAGAGCTTGTAAAGCACAGTGCTAGGCCACATTGTTAAGGCTGTTTGTGTCTTCTGGTGCCAGAGGAGTCCATATCTTCATTGTTTCCTTCCTAGAAGTGTCCTGCCCCATTCTCAGATGTACCCACTCATTTTTAGTGTCCAACTTAAAATACTGAGGGCCTGATTATCAGTGCGTGCTCCTACTGCAGTTGGTGGGGTTGAGGAAAACCAAGCCCAGCAAGGCCTCGGTCCTGAAGATAAAACAACAGCTCTGCATGCATTTCTAGCCTACAGTCACGGCGGCTCCGTGTGCGTGGTGGCATGAATTAGCAGAGCGGCAGCATGATTTGCAATGGGCTAGGAGTGCCACAAGAAGGATTACTTAAGCTACAGAACTAGCAACTTGTTGTTGTAAGTCCGTTGGCAGGAAGCCCTTTGCTAACCCTAATTGCTATCCCTGCATTCCCCTCATGAACACAGAGCGCTCTCCCTCCTTCTCGGTTGTCTTCCAGACCTCTCCTTCCCCGAATCACTTCTAAGCCAGACTGCTCAGGAGGAATGAATGTGGTGCACCACATAAATGCAAAAATCCTCTTTCAGAGACTTGCTTGATAGCTCTAACGGCAGATGCAAACAGCAAATGTAAATAGACGGCTTGGTGTGGGATGCGAATCCCTTGGACTGGCGGGAACCCCAGTCTGGCAGAGGGGGACTTCCAGGGCTGCCATAACCCAGTGATGCGGTGCAGATGCCCATTCTTGCCTAAAACTAAATCTCTGGGTGTTGCATTTAAATGTGCTCATCATCACACTGCCTTGGACACACCCTCCCTGCCCCAGCCCTGGAGGTATGGGTGTTTATGGGGAATGCAAGTCATGACTGTACTGATGGGGCATCTTACATCTTGAATGAGTTTCTCCTCAGAACACTCTTGAGACGAGGAAACAGCGTTCCCTTTCACCGAGCGGGGACAGAGACACTGAAGCTCAGATGCGGTTTGGTGCCTAACTGAAAGCCAAGGCCCAAACCGAACTCAAACCGACTGTGGGAATCAAGGACAATAAAAAGTCCTTCTTCAGATACGTGGGAAGTTGGAGAAAAAACGAGGGCAACATTGGACCCCGGCTGAACCAAATGGGGCAACTGACAACCGACACCCAGGAAAAAGCTAATCTCCTCAACAATTATTTTGCATCAGTTTTCCACCAGCCCAAGTAGATCGCGATGCCTGACAGGACGCACAACTACCAGGGTAAGGGCAATCATATGCCTATAATTGGCGAAGCTCTCGTGAGGGAACGGCTCGAGAGGCTGAACATCCGCAAGCCAGCTGGCCCGGACGGAACGCACTCAAGAGTGCTAAAAGAGTTGGTTGGCACCCGAGCATGCTCAGGGGCGAGGCTGTCTGAGAGCTTGTGGCGCTTGGCAGAGGCTCCAGGAGACTGAAAGAGGGCCAGTGTGGTGCCTATCTTCAAGAAAGGAAGGAAGATCCAGGGAGCTACACGTGAATCCGTTTGACCGCAATCCCTGGAAAGATCTTGGAAAAAATTACCAAGGAATCCATCAACAACAAGCTAATGGAAGGCAACGTTTTGAGAGGGAGCCAACATGGCTTCATTGTGGGTAGGTGTTGCCTGAACAACCTCACTTCCTTCCATGACCAGGTGACGCATCACCTGCACAAGGGAGAAGAGGTTGATGTCACGTAGCTGGATTTCAAAAAAGCCTTTGATTTGGTCTCCCATGATGTCCTCACGGTATAATTGAGGAACTATGACCCTGACAACCTTACAGTCTGATGGCTGGGGACCTGACTCTGTGGTCAGACCCAGAGAGTGACAGTGGATGGAACCGAGTCAACATGGCGCATGGTGACCAGCGGCGTCCCCCAGGGCTCAGTACTCTTTAATATATTCATAAATGATCTGGATTTGGGTGTCAGAAGCAGACTGGCTAAGTTTGCGGATGATACCAAATCATGGGGAAGTGTGGTCACGCTAGAGGATGGGCTGGCAATTCAGGCCAACCTGGCCAGACTTGCAAGGTGGGCAGATCAAAACCTGATGGCACTCAACACAGAAATGCAAAGTGCTCAATCTCAGGAGAAAAAACCCACATCATACTTACAGGCTCGGCAGTGCTACACTCATTAGCACCATGACCGAAAGAGACTTGGGGGTCTTGATGGACCGCAAGATGAACAGGAGCTGCCAACGTGATGCTGTGGCCAGCAAAGCAAATAAAATTCTGGCTTGTATCTATCAATGCATCTCAAGCAAGACCCACAAAGTCATCCTCCCAATTTACTTGGCCTTGGTTGAGGCCGCAGCTGGAGTACTGCATCCAGTTCTGGGCTCCAGATTTTAGAAAGGACGTGAAGAGGCTTGAGAGAGTCCAGAGGAGAGCCGCGCGCACGATCAGAGGTCTCGAGAACAGGCCCTACGAAGAGAGGCTGAGCCGTGGGACTCCTCAGCCTGAAGAAGCGCAGGCTCAGGGGGGACTTGGTGGCAGCCTGTAAGTTCATCAGGATGTGCACCAGCAACTGGGAGCAGGTCTGTTCCCCAGGGCACCCCAAGGGAAGACACGGTCTAATGGTCACAAACTGCTGGAAGACCATTTTAGACTGAACATAGGGATAAACTTCTTTACCGTCCAAGTCTCCAAAGTCTGGAATGGTGTAAGCACCTACTCAGGATACCTTTAAGAAATGCTTGGATGCTTATCTTGCTGGGGTGACCGCAGCTGACTTCCCGCCCCTTGGGCAGGGGGCTGGACCCGATGATCGTGCAAGGCCCCTTCCAGCCCTAACATCTATGAACTCCCATTTGAATCATTAGGAGTTAGGTGCCTAAGCAACACTGAGACTCACCCTTAAGTAGTTTTCTCAGTCGTAAAGGATGCCTGGGGGAGAAGGGAACTGAATCAGTCTTTTGTGTTTCCAGCTTGCACCACCATCTCTGGATCACTCTTCTAGGCTGTAATGGGAGAACTGTTACTCTGCAGTTATCTCCACCTGCTGGAAAAGCTCCTTGGGCTTCAGACATCATTTTAGAGCAGCCCTGAGGCAACCCTTAAGATCAGAGAGATGTAATAGCAGCTTTCCTGCCTCCTCTGGTCCTCAGCTGAGCAGTTTAGCTGGGTCAGAGGACCCAAACCTCAGTTTTAAAGGCTTTGGTGGGAGAAAAGGGTGCACTCTATGCTTTTTAGCTCCAAGGTGAGCAGGAGTTACCGTTTTGGAGGCATTATCTACTTGCTGTTGCTGTTGTAAAATGGTATCCTCCTAACTGGTCTCACAGCTGAAGTGGCTTGTTTTGCTTTTTATTTCTCCCTGTGCCCCTTGGCTCACTTGTAAAGAATTTGGGGGCATAAGTGGGGGCAAAATAGTAGTAGAATCCCGAGAGTTGTCTGAGCGGCCAACGTCCAGG